TAATCTGGAATCAACAATGTGTTTAAAACATGAACAAATTTACTTCATTTAGAATACGTTGTACAGTGTACCTCTCTACCCATACTTTACGGATTTAGATAAAATTCAATAGAGTTACCTCTGGAACAAGCTACAAATAAACTGTAAAGCTAAATGATTTATTTGTTTTGTTTGTTTGCTTGTTGTTCTTTGTTTGTTTGTTTTTTTTTTGTTTTTTTTGTTTTTTTGTTTTTGTTTTTTTTTTGGTAGTGTAGAGTCCTAGCTGAACCTCATTTTAAAATTATTTGAAATATTATACATTTTGAGTAGTATTTTGTCTTTTTTTTTCTCACCCCCCCCCCCCTTACTTACTCAAAAGTCTTTTTATCCTATAAGAGTTACGTCTCCTTCACTTAAATATCGTGCAAAATACCCTTTATCACCCTCCCCCCCCCCCCCCAACATACACACGGAAGAATACACAGATATGGGTTAAAATAAATCTGTGTGATATTTATTTTCACACACGCATCCTCCCTAACCACCACATATCATCGCACTTGATCAGTCTTTGTGGCATAATCGGAACATTGCATGTTAAAAGTATTTTTTATCTGGATGAAGTTTTTTTTCCACCAACGGTTTTCTTACGGTTTCGTTATATATCATACGACATACACCAGTTTACTTTTTATAGTATTCTTCTCTTTGCACCATTAATCACACATAAACTTTTTTTTTTATTATCGTTTACTTTTTGTGTGGGATGGGCGTTCTATATCGACCCCTCTTCATCATAATTCATTGTCTGTTTTCCGAGCCATAACAGTAAACATTTAAAAAAACAGAACGACCAGTGTCAGCTTTCAACATTGGTGCATTTCACTCAAACACCATCCCAAAGCACACGGCAAAACATTTCTCATGGGATCGAATTAAATCATCTCATTTTGTCATATTTAATTTTCTTAAATTCAGTGATAATGAAAATATGATGGATAATCATAGGAAAGAGAAATTTTAATTTTTCTAGGTGTCATCTTGCACTCTATTTCATCTACGGTAGAAGCAAGGTTTTGTGAGCGCACAAATGCTGTGAAACTTTATACGAAATGACACAAATTCTTGCTGCATCATGCTCCTATATAATCTTCCCTTTTATCTGATATAAAACTTGATTTTCTTTTAAAATATCAAATGAAATTTAAAAGCTAGAATTACTAATAGCCATAAAAATGAAGAAAGTTGACAGAAATTTTAAAAGAAGCGACTACTGCAGAGTCTAGCAATATGTTCCTTCAATACTTACTTTAAACCCACGTTTTTCAATTTCACCCCATTTACTGACTGAAAAAAGGGACAGGGTTGAAAATTATGACATTTATTATGATAATTACAATTAGTTCTCAACCTCAAATAATCTGGAATCAACAATGTGTTTAAAACATGAACAAATTTACTTCATTTAGAATACGTTGTACAGTGTTGTAAGGATCGTGTTCTACTAAAATGTTGTATGCAATAACCAGGACTATTTCAAAAATAACAATATATTCCTCACATGTAATATGTATTGTATTAAGGACCATACGTCCCTGCTTGTATGAAATGATTCAATAAATATATTGTATCCCTGTTTTATGGCATTTGTAAGCTTCTTTTAAACAAACCACAAATATCAAAATTATTGGATAAGGAAGTAACAAAGGCATGCTTAAATTACACAATTTACAGGAACTTTCTTTATAGTAAAAAAATCACACTTGTTTGTTTATCGTCACTGTGCACGGCCACGCCCCCTTACAGGGTTGACACAGTATTTACATCTCCCGCTATTGTTCCTTGGTAAAACCCCCGTTATTGAAGAACTTTAAATATTGCTTCCTTTGTACCCATGTTACACCAAAATTGATCCTGATCATTGTTACAAATTAATGCAAAGTTCTCAGGATCAAGAATAATGTTGACTTACTCCGAATAGACACACACTACAGTAGATCCCGCCATTGTAAGGTTATGATTGGCGAGGGGACACCGAGCTCTTCACGCACAAACTCAGCTTTCATCCAAACTCGATACAGCTCAAGTACATACTCCAACGAGAGTGAAACTATTAATTCACTCAAATAACAAAGATATATTGGCCCCAAATAGCAGCTTTTATTGCAAAACGACCTGTCTTCCTTTAATTTTAATCACTCCATTGAAAACTTTTTTTTTCAACAAATGCACTGAATCGCACCTTCTTGATAATTTGAATTAGTGTAGAGTATTGATAGTTCTAGTCTCATTGTAGTTTCTAGAGCTTATATTGAAAAATTGTCACAAATTTAACATTCAAATGATTTATATTTTGAAATTCAATTCCAGATAAAATTTAGAGAAATTCATCAATCGCCTCTATCATTAAATAATAATAATAATTTAAAAACCTTTTATTGCATTTAGAGTACATTCAGTTGTACCACATATTAATGCATTTATTTTTAGTAAAAGACAATTTGTTTTGTTTGTTTGTTTGTTTATTGTTTAACGTACCTCTCGAGAATTTTTCACTCATATGGAGACGCCACCACTTGCCGGAGAAGAGCTGCAAATTTTGACCTTTACTCGGCACTGAGGGTCATTGAGCAGTGAGGGATCTTTTTCGTGCCAGCACCTACTGCGACACAGGACCTCGGTTTATACGGTCTCATCTGAAGGACCGGTCTCCACGTCCAACAGTGGGATTCGAACCCGCGACGTAATGATCAACTCCTTACTTCGCGGCTCTAACCACTGCGCCACACGGGCGACAATTTGTAATCAAGTCAATGCAGCATAATGAAAGATGAGGTAACAACAAGCTTCAACTAAATCAAGACAATGAAATGTTCATTCCCTCTGGATGTTCGACTACACTGCATCTTATATATAGACATCAATAACAATTTATGATAAGGGCCTTCCTTTGTCATGTCATCAATAACAATATGTGATAAGGGCCTTCCTTTGTCATTTTATCAATAACAATGTGTGATAAGGGCCTTCCTTTGTCATATCACCAATAACAATGTGTGATAAGGGCCTTCCTTTGTCATGTCATCAATAACAATGTGTGATAAGAGTCCTCCTTTGTCATATCACCAATAACAATGTGTGATAAGGGCCTTCCTTTGTCATATCACCAATAACAATGTGTGATAAGAGTCCTCCTTTGTCATGTCATCAATAACAATGTGTGATAAGAGCCCTCCTTTGTCATGTCATCAATATCAATTTATGATAAGGACCTTCCTTTGTCATGTCATCAATAACAATGTGTGATAAGGGCCTTCCTTTACATATCATCAATAACAATGTGTGATAAGAGCCCTCCTTTGTCATGTCATCAATAACAATGTGTGATAAGAGTCCTCCTTTGTCATATCACCAATAACAATGTGTGATAAGGGCCTTCCTTTGTCATATCACCAATAACAATGTGTGATAAGGGCCCACCTTTGTCATATCATCAATAACAATGTGTGATAAGAGTCCTCCTTTATCATGTCATCAATAACAATGTGTGATAATAGCCCTCCTTTGTCATGTCATCAATATCAATTTATGATAAGGACCTTCCTTTGTCATGTCATCAATAACAGTGTGTGATAAGGGCCCTCCTTTGTCATATCATCAATAACAATGTGTGATTAGGGCCTTTCTTTACATATTCTCAATAACAATGTGTGATAAGGGCCTTCCTTTGTCATGTCATCAATAACAATGTGTGATAAGGGCCCACCTTTGTCATGTCATCAATAACAATGTGTGATAAGGGCCTTTCTTTGTCATATTGTCAATAACAATGTATGATAAGGGCCTTCCTTTACATATCATCAATAACAATGTGTGATAAGAGCCCTCCTTTGTCATATCATCAATAATAATGTGTGATAAGGGTCCCCCTTTGTCATGTCATCAATAACAATGTGTGATAAGAGCCCTCCTTTGTCATGTCATCAATAACAATGTGTGATAAGAGCCCTCCTTTGTCATGTCAACAATATCAATTTATGATAAGGACCTTCCTTTGTCATGTCATCAATAACAATGTGTGATAAGGGCCTTCCTTTGTCATGTCATCAATAACAATGTGTGATAAGGGCCTTCCTTTGTCATCAATAACATGTGTGATAAGGGCCTTCCTTTGTCATATCATCAATAACAATTTATGATAAGGGCCTTCCTTTACATATTGTCAATAACAATGTGTGATAAGGGCCTTCCTTTGTCATGTCATCAATAACAATGTGTGATAAGGGCCTTTCTTTGTCATATCGTCAATAACAATGTATGATAAGGGCCTTCCTTTACATATCATCAATAAAAATGTGTGATAAGGACTTTTCTTTGTAATACCATCAATAACAATGTGTGATAAGGGCCTTCCGTTACATATTATCAATAACAATGTGTGATAAGGGCCTTCCTTTACATATTATCAATAACAATGTGTGATAAGGGCCTTCGTTTGCCATATTTTAGGAGACACGCAGAACAATACAATAGTTAATTAAATCTGTGATTATGCAAAATAAGAAAATATCATACAAAATGATTACAGAAAGATTCCAGAAGGAATTGTTCCATTATCAAATCTCCACATATTTGAATTGACTTTTAAAGTACCGGTACATTATGCATTAAAAAATCCTAATGCAAGTCTATCTGCCAAATTAACATATTTTATGCAGTAGTGTCAGACACTACCTGAAAGTGAAAATCATCTATAGCTTGCTTGCGAAAGCAAAAAGGTATTTTCAATAAGAATTCAGAAAAACTTATGAAATTTGGAGAAAATTATTCAAGTCCATCAACTCTCTGTGACCTCTGCTGGTTTTTCAGCTCTGTGCCGATTTAGTTGTTTAATTACAATTTATATTTTTTTATTTTATCAACAAATGAGGGACAAAACTTGGCCCTTACGATCCCTACCCATTGACTGCATAGTATCCTAATCTCTATGCACTTCCAAATGAAAATATGACATCATGATTAACGTACTTCATTTCTTTTTACTTTATTATTATGTTTAATATATAACATGTAAAATAATGTGCTTCAATTTTATCTTGGCATAACAAAAAATAAAAACAGGTAACAAGGTCGCCTCCTGTAAAGCTTATATACCCAATTTCTTCGTACATGTTCCCTAAGAACAAACACATGCATATTTTATACATCTGATGAATTACTGCTGGAGTGAACAGCAACCAACAGCAAGTATTGACAATGACATTAATTATGCAAAGTAAATAAAGCTGCATAAATGTTGTAGATTTAGTATAAATGTATTATTACATTTACACAATATTTTTTGTGTCAAAAACATATAATACTGAAAAATATTTATGGCAGCAGGTAACTGTTCCATAATCTTTCCCCATACATTTTCTCTTCTATATAAAGACAAATTACTTCACACATGGAATGGTTATGTTGGAGCCCTATACAATTCTGACTACACTCTGGAAAGTTTAAGTGTGAGAATTTAGTACATCAATAGAGCTTTATAGCACTGTTAATCTCAGTGTCTGGATATAAAATCACATTTCTACACAACAAAGTCATTGGAACATCTGAAGTTGAGATCTTCATCCAGCTCTTCAGGATTGATTGTGTAGCTGCCCGATGTGGTGGTGGCAGCATCATCATCATCCTCACGGGATTTTGTGGTGCTGATGATGCTACTTCCTCCAAGATTAAAATAGTCTTTGTGAACACTGTGGTAATAAGAGGAGTTCATATAATCCCAGGGATCAGAGTGATGTGATTTGTATGAGATGGGAGTATATGGCATATGATGAGCACTAGTAAAAGGAGCAGCTGAGTGTCTTTTATCACTGCTGCTGGGTATGCTGCAAGGAGGTGGTCTAGGGGGTTTACTGTCTTTTTTTGGCAGTGATGACATGAAGGAAATGGGGGACATGGATTGGTTGTTGTAAAAATCAAATGATCTGGAATCATCTGAAAAATAAGGGGGAAAAATCAATGTGGTAATAAAGACAATCAGTATGAGTAGTTAATGAATTCAGTCTTTGATGAAATTTGTTTCTGACTGTATTTCAAAATCTTCTTTTGATTACATGCAAACATTATATTTAAAGTGTCAGGCTACATATTTATAATTACCTGCTGTATGGGCAGTACTGGGATTATCATCCTCACTGCCTCCCCGCCCACTGTCTGACGGGATTGTCTCCCCAGATGTATCACTGTTACTGTCACTAGGGTGCACTCTACCAGGGGAAGCAACCTAAAAATAGCAAAATCATCATACCTATTTCTTTGAACTTCCAACATATATCATCAGAATATCAATTTTATGTCTGATATTATGACCACATTTAGAACAACAAGGGCTGCAGTACTCCCAGTTATTGACAAGAGCCCTTTCTATCCCTGTCACATGTACCAGCTCTTTGCTTTGTTGTATGAAAACAACTATTCAGAGATATGGCAATTTATGAAAATGATACTTCAGAGACAATCAATGGTAGTGTGCATGTAGAATTTGGTACAGCTGAATTATTGATTAGGTCCATTTTTGTTGATTTTTCAGTTTTCCTGCAGGAAGATTTGTGACAGCTGCATAGACAATATAATTGTCTATTTGTCTCTGTGTTGGTGATGTCATCAGGTGTTATTGCAGTAATAATTAATGCTTAAAATGTTCCATTTTGATTCAAACATATGCAGAAAAATTTTTTTTTTCTGATTAAGATTTGAATATTCTGAAATTAGTGTAAACATGTATATTCGTTCAGCTAAAGTTCCACACTCCAGAAATGAGAGAAACAGACTCCCCCATAAATTGAGAGCATTATTCACCTCCTCTCAAATTAGTCAAAGGAACAAATAAAATGTCAATTTAGAAAGACATCACTTTTTTTGTCTGTCATGCAATTCTCTTACCTGGTCATCCTTCTTCAGTAAAATCTGCTGGAGTTTTAAGGCATTCATGGCTTCAATTTTAGAATCTGATTTCAGGGAGGAATAGGATGGTGGCTTGTCATATAAATTCTGAAGAGGAAAAAATGGAATAAATAGAATTAAATTTACCCTCAAATTATTACACTTCTTGTAAATTAAATGAGTCTTTAAAAAAGTTAACGATTCAATAAGGAAAATCCAATTCAATTTATATATAATTCCTAACACTCTTTGATAAGTTCAGTAAAAAATGATTGCTTTTTTCACATGAAAAGAAGAAAAGAAAAAAAGTATTGAAATTGCTAGAGTTGAAGAGGTTCACGGAAATCTATTTAACAGTCTTCATTCAAAAAGATAAACTAGTACAATAGTAAATAATTGGGTAATTATATGAAAAGAAATTATAAATCATTAAATATGTTATCATCATTTTATAAAAAGAAAAAAAAAAAAAGAAATGCAAATTTAATCATCACACAATGTTCAGTGCATGTTTAAATTTCTTCTCTTTGAATTAAAGCTCTTGCTGAAAAGTTTTGATAAATGGTAAATGACTTTAAATTTGTCTATCGCTTGTTGAAAAACAGGAAAATGATATGTGTTTGCTTTGAACTTGTCCCACATGGAAAACGCTCTGTTTAAATGAATGACCACATCTTTAAATAAGTTTTAAACCTTAAGAAAACTTCACAAATCTCTAGTACAAATAATGACAACGCCAGGACAGTTTAAATAAAACCAAAGGGAAAATATTTGTCAAGTTTCACAAACAAAATGCTTTATTTTCCTACTCAGAAATATGATTATTTTTTTAGGTATATATTTTTCTTTATGCAAGGTTCTTAAGACTTCTGGGTTGGATGTGTTAAGTTTGGACAAAAATCATAAACAATCTCCCAAAATATCAAATGTTTTGGTTCAAAAAGGATCTTTTTAAATTAAACACCATGCATTTATTTTTATAGCAATATAAATATTTTTGTATGAATTGATTCACCACACAATAAAAATAATAAAACTTTTTTGACAAAAAATGTTCACGCTAATTGAATATCAATATAAACAGAATATGTATCTGAAAAATAAATATCAATTTTACAGAAATTTATCATGTCCCTGTGCAAGGATATTTCCCTATCTATAGTAATTGCATAGGGTGTGACGAAATAAATTGTAAATTTATCAAAATAACCTATGATTAATCTTCATAAATGCAAGAGATGCACTAGGGTTGTCCAATGGAAATGAGACACTGCGGAGCTCCCGAGACACTAACCAATAATCTGCACTGATTCATTAGCCAGATACACCCACAAAATCACTGCTTGTTTGTCTTCAGGCAAAAATAAATTTTATCAAAAAGGGATAAATAAAAAAAAAATCCCTGTTTTGTCTAGGTGATTCCAAAATGAAGATAAGATCCGATATTCTTCTTTAATTCCACCCTCCCAAAGGTCAAACTAATTTCATAATAAGAAGATTTAGGATGAATCAAAAATGGACGCCGAAAGCCATTTGAACTATCAGTGGACCTATTGAAAAATACCCACTAAAATCGTTTTTAGGTCTCCAAAATGAGAATGACTGTATTTATGATAAAACCTCTGCATCTAGAAAGAGCAGGCATTTACAAGTTAATGTAATGCTACATAATGAGGGGAATAATGGATAAAATCCCAGTTAACCACAAAAAAAATTATATAATTCGTAATGAAAAATAATGAGTCTGCTCTTTCAATAATTTAACAGCCTCTATGACTCATAAAAATGTGATTTTGCTCTTTGCGAGGAAAAATTAGTTTCTGCATAAAAAAAGAGTGCATTGTTTATTGTGCACAAAATCTCTTCTTGGCTATAGTAGTCCGTAAATAAAGTTATTAAAAAAAGATTTTGGTGACAAGTAGCCTGAGGTCAATATGTTTATCACTTTCTGGAGAAATATGGGTCCATTATGACACCATTTTTGACATCCAACATATTTTTCTCATGTTCCCGGTCTTTATATCCAGATTTTTGTGTAGTGACATGCACGTTACATTTTTCAGAGATCGGTATCCCAGATACAAGGACAGACCCTTACCATTGTATGAGCTGCAACTTTAGAACACCTGACATTGGCCTTTTTTATAATATTACAAAAATTTATCCTCGCGCTGGTTTATCTAGTAAGATGAGTTATTAATATTAGATCTGAGGTTCGGATACTGACTCTGGTAGTGTTTCAGTTTAGCTTTGGTCATGTCAGGAAAAAAAAAATAACAAGGTGTTTTATACTGTTTTTAAAATGATTCAGTCTATTTACGTAAATCATGGCTTTAGCTAATTACATTTGACTTTCAAATTAAAGTCATTTACAAGTCCAAATGCATTTTATTAAGATAAAACTGTGTAAATTTTATATTAACCTGTTTGATATCATGGTTCCCAAAGTTTGCTTGTAATGAAAAAAAAAGAAGAATTTTTAAAATGAAATAATATTTAAATTCAAACTTTTAGCACTTTAAATTAATTTTAAGACCACTTCATTTGAAAAACACTACAGTATGCATTAAAGTGGGAACATTTTGTATATATTTGGCCATGTTAGTAAAAAATTAAACAAGCACAAATGTGGATTATAATACAGAGATGACTTACATTTTGTGTGAGGTTAGAGCTGTAATTATTGTTTGGATTATTTAGATGCCCCTCGCTGTTAGTCCCTGGATTAAATGTCACTTTCTTTCTCTCCATGTATTCCTCCTCAGTATTAGCACTTGGCACAGTGGATGAACCGGCAGGGGAGTACCCATTCTGCATGGGGACCCCCAGAGGACCTGGGGTTGCCTTGTATTTCTTGCGCTGGATGTCCTTCTTTCTGATAACCAATATAACGATGACAATAGCGACAGAGATGATGATGGTGAAGATGATAACACCAATGGAAATGTAGATGTATTTATTATCAGCCTCCTGGGTCTGTCTTGCTAAGGTAACATTGTTTATTGTCACTTCAACATTAAGTTGGGTACATGCTGTTTTAGCGGGAACCCCCGAGTCTCTGACACAGATAGTAAGGCTGACTGACTGATCCGTCTTGAAGTGGTAATCCCGATTCAGAAAAAGTTCGCCTGTCTGAGAATGAAGATTGAACATGACTTTTTCATTTCCGTTCTGTATGAAGTAGGTGAGCTGTCTGTTGATTCCTTCGTCCTTGTCTTCTGCTATGATTTTCGTGATTGGTAGGGAGGTGACAGTGGAAGAGACGGTGTTGTTCATTTTGTTTGGGAATAGAATAATGGGTGTGTTGTCATTGGCATCCATTACGTACACTGTGACATAAGCTGAACTGTTCAGAGACGGTTTACCACTGTCTCGAACATACACCATGAAGTTGTACTGACTCAAATACTCTCTGTCCAGTGTTGTACTGGTGATCACAGTACCATTACGTAAAACTTCAAAGGGAACATTTATATCTTGTGGAGACATGGAGTACTGCAAAAAGGCATTCAGTCCTACATCTGGATCATGGGCTACGACAGTACCAATAGGCGTATGACGATCACTTCCTTCACTGACTTCGAATGTGAACAGGGACTCGGTAAACTTTGGTTTGTTGTCGTTGATGTCCGTAATGTTGACAATAACAGTGGCGGTGCCTGTTTTGGGTGGAACACCACTGTCCACTGCAAGGACACGGAATAGATAATCACTAGTACCCTCCCTATCCAGAACCCCTGTAGCGTTGATGACCCCTGTTATACGGTTAATACTGAAAGAGGAACCTGCATCGCTGTGGAGAACATACTGAATCTGCGAGTTCAGTCCTGTATCATCATCAGTGGCTGACACTTTGGTGACAGTCACCCCTTTTGGATTGTTTTCTTCTATGCTTGCAAAGTAAACAGGTTGAGAAAACTTGGGTTTATTGTCATTTTCATCCACAACTCTTACAATGAAACTCTTGGAAGACTGGAGAGGTGGACTTCCAGCATCCTGACATGTGACAGTAATATTATGTTGACTGGCTGTTTCCCTGTCCAATTGTCTCCTCACCACAACCTTGTAGCCTTTACTGGACAAAGACTCTATTCCAAAATAAGAGGAAGAGATTGAACACTGAACTAGGCCATTGTTTCCATTGTCTGAATCCTCCACACTAATGTGTGCCACAAATCCACCAATGTTAATCAGTTCAGATATGGGAACGACTCCACCATTTCCTGACACTAAATTGACCTTGACCATGGGAGGGTTGTTTCCAGCATCCTCTATCTCAATATTGACCTTGACCTGGGCAAAGTTTGGAATGGCTCCTTTGTCTCTTGCTTCAACAACAAAGGAGTAAATCTCATTTGGTTCATACACCAGTTTTTTGAGAAGAGTGATGTCTCCTGTTTGTGTATTGATGGAGAAGACATCACTGTAGGCTTGCTGGCTGATTAAGTACTCCACCTCTCCATTGGCCCCACTGTCTAAGTCTGAGGCTGTCACACTCAAGATGGTAGTTCCAGGCTGGGTATCTTCACTCACATTTTTATTGTAAATTGATTCACCAAACACTGGGGAATTATCGTTAAAATCCAAAACATTTACATCAACTTGTAGCTTCCCAGTGTTCATTTCAGCACCACCATCTTTTGCAAAAATCTGAAGAATATACTTTGCTGTTTTCTCTCTGTCTAGCTTCTCCAGTAACTTTAGCTTCACATCAAAGCTCCCATCCAGCTTTTTGGTAGTACTGAGCCCAAACGTTCCATTGGCAGGGAAGATTTCATAACTCTGTACTCCATTGTTTTCACCAGTATCTAGATCCACAGCCGCAGGAAGCTGAACAAGTTGGCCGACATTTGAGGTTTCTGACATGTTGATTGTTATTACGGGTTGTGGGAATCGGGGTGCATTATCATTGATATCCTTTACGTTAACATTCACTGTTATAACTTGAAATTCTCCCCCTCCCTGTTCGTTTGCAGCCACATCAAAATTCAAAACACACAGAGTAGAATCTCTACATGTCTGAAGGTCTTCCCTGTCAATGGTTTTGGATGCAAAAAGATCACCAGTGATTTCGTTGATACTAAATACTGTTTTATATTCATTATCAGGCTGAAGAAAAGTATATCTCATTCTGCTAAAGACATCTGAGGAGAGATTTGCTTTCTGGACAAGATTACTTTTCATGGGGATATTCCCAATCTTAGCCCCTGGGGGTTCCTGTTCATTCACAGTAAAATCAGCAACAGTTTCTGCAGAAGAAGTCACGAAAATGGATAAAGCACACAGTAGGAAAAGAACTGCCATGGCTGATTGTGTTTATCCTTCACAAAAGGCGGGGTCTCTGGTCATTTCCTCCACGCTGGGTTACCAATGGCTCCTTTATAACTCTACCTGAGCAATGAAAGAGAAACAAATTAAAACCATTAATGCATTTATGTTTCATAAATCTAGATTAAGTTATAAAATTGTGACATTGAGAACAAACCATCACAAGTCAAATGTTTCAGGGATAAATATAAAAATGGCATTATGAATTTTCCCGAGAACTGTTTGATTCTTAGCAACACCTGTCCCAACATAAGAACAAGATGCAAACTTTCAATTAAATATCTCTATTTACCAAAAAGCAAACAATATTGTTTTTCTCTCTTTAAAGATACAAGGTGAAATAGAATCCATACACAGAAAAAACATTCAGTTATTCCATTTTTAATTGACACTACGAAGCGAAAATATGATTGTCTCCGGAATAAATTAAATCTTGTAATGAAGTTTTTCATTCAACATATAGCACACAAGAGTATGATTATTAAAGTTTACGGAATTTGCCCTGGTTAAAAAAAAATGAAAAGAAAGATAAAGATCTGTGGCCTAAATGATAGGAATGAGTTTACTACCACTCATTTAAAGTCTTTTAATGTCACTTTCATTTTGTGGACACCTTGTTGAATTAAGCAAATTTACTATGTTTCTGATTTATGAGAAGTTACTTTATTAGAAATGCATTCATCACTTCAAAGACTTGATTGCACCTGACCACCTGAGATTACACTGAGCTTGGTGAAACACACCTCCACTCTTAACCAGATGTGGTAAAAACACTTCTACATGTAAAACGGTTGTGAGGGTACCCATATTTTATTGGGGTTTTCTTCTGGAGCTAATATTTACCCCCCTTAAAACGGCAATCTTACATCCTCATAGAAAGCCATTCCTTGTATTGCAAGATTTACACTTCTCAAATAATTTTTTTTTAAAGTTTTTAACATATAATTAATTTGGAAAAATTTATTTATTTGATTTCAAATCTTGATTCTGATATGTTTGAATTTTCATAATTTTTGTTTTTTTCAATGTTAAGTATATGTGTCATTAAGAGTTAATAAAATGTCAAACTATTCAATCAATCATGCTCATATTTTTTTTTAACACATATACATCATAAATATATCAACAATTGTTTATAAATTAATTGTAAAAATTAACCACCAACACTAATTAATTTAGGTTTTTAGGAAGAAACCACACATATGTACATATATAAATTGGTTACAAAAATTATTTCGTACAGTACATAAGAATTTTAAACAATTCCTTGCTTTTTTGTTCTTATTTTTGTGTAAAGTTGTGTGTGTAAATTTAATTTACAATTGCAATACATATTTTAACTAATACATATGCCTTGAATATGGACTTCAAAATTATTATTATACAATAAGAAAAATATTCCTCACCTTCTTGTAAAACTATTGAATCCAAACTGAAAAATGTTTGTCCCAAGAAGAATCACGAAAAATTAAAGGGTCAGCCTGTAAACTGATGTTTATATTATTGCACCAATATCCTGGTCTTATTTATCTACAGCTTAGCTTCCTTTACAACAAACAAACCAGACACTGTTAAAAATTTAGACTTCCTCTTGTATGTCAACACAAATTTTCAATTACTTCTCCATTTAGAAATTCTAAGGTTACATTAGGCAAGAAATTAACGATGTAGCCATTGTCCATCCTCACGGTTAAAGCTGCTGATAATCTCCCTAACAAATATACCCGCTAAGCTGTTAAGACAACTTAAATATTTCCCTTATTACACTAAAGAGTTGACACATCCTAAAAGGAACCCTGTTTTCCTGACCATTCCAGCACACTGTTGTCCTGACTCTTTGATAAAGCTGACTGCTCGCAGCGTCGTGGATGAGTGAACTGGGACTGCCTACTTTGTCACAAGACAACAAGTTAGCCGAGATGTCAGAAGAGCTGTGATACACATGCTTGTTTGTGACCACCTTAATAAAATCGTCACCACCACTGAACAATAGAAAAAAAGGTCACAACTTGATGTAACTATTTATGTGATAATAGGAATTGGACTACTTAGTAAAAGAATTTTGTTTATAGGTTATTTCAAGATAATTATATAATAGATATCTTTTGAAATTCATAAAAATAAAAAATATTACATACTATATAATTTCATAATTAGCTATTTATGGTTGAAGTAAAAAAAATCATGTTAATAAATAAATCAAACAAGCTGTTTTGCATCAGCAATGTTTTTTTTTTTAAAGACAGATGATATGAACAAAAAAATGGATGTCTGGATTGGTGATATATTTCTGGACCTGTTTCGGTTGTAAATGATGCAAATAATAATTTTCTAAAATATTAAGATTGTAAACTTAGGCTTTCTTTGATGTTCAAAATTCTACCTTTCTGCAACCATCCTTATTTATGTATACAATTTTTTGTTATGTTAAATCCCATTTTTGTGAAAATTTGAATGAAAAATTGAAATCTATGCAGTTAAACTTATTCATTTTACTTATATAAAAATGACTTAAGTTGTTATTTTCAACATTTTTGATAAAAGTTTGTTTGTATCACCTGTCCTTAATATTCCATGTCACATAAAAAATATCTTGAATATAATGCATGTAGTTAAAAAATAATAACTTGAACGAACACATTTTATTACAAAAATATAAAATTGTCAAGGAAATCAGCATAATGTATGTAAATGAGGGAGGTATCCAGACTGTTCACACCAATAGATGCCAGCAGTTATCTGAATGACAGCTCTAGATGGCATCAGCTGTTAATAGACTAGTAATCAACATGTCTATCTCTCTATCCTTATCTCCTCCTAATCTCTCTATCTCACTGTATATCTATATCCCCCTAATTTTATCTCCATACCTATCTAAAAGTGTTAATTATTTACAGAGTATAGTTTATGAAAAAAAAATTAAATGGTCAGTGCAAAATTAGCATCTGATAAAAAATGCATTTTTTAGAGAGAGAGAGAGATTAATGCAATTTACTTTAATAAATAAATGCTTTAAATATTTCCTAACTCTTATCTTAATTATAGTTCAGAGTTGTATCAACTTCATGATTATCAAGAAATTTTCCTTTTAAAATAAACCATTCTTTTATCATGCACATGGCACTTCTAATTTATTTTTTTACATAAAACTTGTACTGTACATGGAAAGAAACTCAGGCTAACAGTGAAATCAAATATTTTGTTATAACACAGGTGAGTATAGAGAAATGTGATAAAGAGCAATGGATTATAATCTTAAATTAATGCAAAATTAATTCAAAAACTTGCAACCATAAAATGAAATAGATATGGGTCTAGCAGGGCATGAAATAAACTCCATTATATCTCTAAAACATGCGATACTTTGCCCTGTTCCTTTCACCATATGCAGAATTCTTACAAACTGTTGCATTTAGATATATCATTTTCACCAAAAAATGGTCTGTTATCTGTTTTAAATGGAAGATATTAATCATTTCAACAAAATGTATTCTGGGCACAAATGTGCAATAAAACATGATTACTTCACAGGTTGATGTTGACAAATAGTGTAAACAAATCAATGTGGCTTCAAAATTAAGAATCTTTGTACTGTCTGAGTCTGGTAATTCCTCCCTCCCTTTTAAAATCTAAATCTCCCCAATCATATAAGGGGAAGTAATCCTTGCACTGACCAGTCCTTATCAGATCTGTCTAATTACAGAGAATGCATGAAAGGTATTACCTCCCTTGGTTTTTGGGATCAGACTAAGATAATGGGATGTTTACTTATAACGAGGGTAGATCCTAAAGGCAAACGTCCTCATTAAACGTGACATATATGTCTGAATCAGCTGCTCAAACAACCTGTTTAACTGGTCAACAAAAAGCATTTCCCATACTAGATAAAAACCTTGTAAATGTATATACATCACAGACATTCTAAATAAATTACCAATACAAAAGATTATTCAATTGGCCAATGTACTATAAAAGACCAGGTGGCTTAAAAATGATATGACCAGTATGTAAAGTTTTTTCAATTTTGACAGTGTCTATGCTGTCCAAGTATCAGAATTATGGAAGATGCATGTATTTTTTTAATAAACCATGACCTACATTTAAGCTATTATGTTTTTACTGGGTACTGGCTCAGATGAGTCATGCTGCATCCATTAGCAGCTATTACAGTTGGGCAAGCGCTAATTGAGAGACAATTGGTGAAGTTACTCAAGATATAATTACAAAATATGTCCCAATAGCTCCAACAAATATGTCATGAAACCCTAAACTAAAACATTTATAGGGGAAATTTTACCACATATTTATTTTATTTCTAGTTTTGCTGTAGTTTTCATTGGTTGCATATTTTTCAACTAAAATCAAAACCATAGCAACAGAAAATGAAGTAAAATTGCCATTAGCACCGATATCCATGAGTTATATAATTTATTGACTGTCATTCATATCATTTTTTTGCGCATCAATTCCTGTAACATATTAATTTTTTTTTTCATCAATAGACATTTCGGCATGGATAAATGTGCTGCATTATTGAAGAGGCCTTGTACAACAGTAACATTAGAATACAATACTTGGATGGATACAGCACATATGCACATTTACTTTAAACAGGCAATACAGTATGACATAACTGAAGACATAAATATCAATATATACACAATATGCATAAATTACCTCCCTCCCCAATCTTAATACAATTAAAACATCAAACTCACCAGGATAAAATAAATGCAGCCTCTTAAATCAGCACTTGAGACAAGTCTGCGGAATTTTATGTATCCAGCCTTCCCTTTACTTTGGACATCTACCTGTAGTCACAAGATCAAGGGTCATTGATGCCACAATAGAGGTGATCTAACACAACAAAGGGAGATTATCACCTCATCAGAGTGCTCACTTAGACACACTGGTCTTAATATATCAACCTTTAGGTGATTAAAAATTACAGGTAAATGTTCGGCACCCCTGCGTAGCGACTCATCTATGCTAGACTATATCAAATAGAATTAAGGTGTCCAACTCTATGGCTTTTATCTGGACGGCATTCAAAAGGGTGGCAAAACTGTGATTTCTGTGTTTTCTGTGGAATCATGTAATATTTTGTATAAACAGACTTATCATTAGCTTAGGTACACACAATGACCCGAGGTGCTAAGACATGACTTGTTAATACAATATGCTATCTTATAAGCCTTGTAAATTTGATTTCTAGAAAATTAATTAAATATTGGTCAACTGAAGTGTCATTATAAATTAAGATTAACTGATCTAATCTCATGCATTCAAAATGTTGACAACTGTATAATAAATAGGATTCATATTATATATTGATAATGAAGTACACTTTAGTGGAGAACATGTGTAATTAAGTCTTATTTCCTGTAGGATTCATATTTATTTTAATTAATAAAAATTCAATCATGTTTTTAATTTATATTTTGACTTAAAATAAGTCAAAAGAAACCATGAGAAAATAACATGAAAATGGTTATAATAGATGTGAAAGTTGTAAGAGGAAGTCTTTTTCTTTGGAATGACAAATGGCTGGTGTGTTTAGAGGACCAACAGAGAGTTTACTGAGGTGTAATCAGCCTTAGTCCTGGATGAAGTGACTGATGATGATCGAGAGGGAAAAAAAATTACCCAAACCTTGTGATCAGTGAACGATATAAAAGATCACGCTCAATAAGTCTTACTCTAACTAGTCTGTTCAGAAAAGGAAAAACCTTACTATTTCACAGAGTGGTCAAAAATAAAAGAAAAATAATGAAATATAATGATGCAAGAGCATGCAGATATAATTAACTCACCAGATCAATCTACAAGAATTGAGGCAGCACAAAGAAAAATCCAAAGACAAAGTGACGCCACAGAAATAATTTCACACCTGTTTAGCTGTGTACCTAATGGTCAATGTGAGACTGAATTCTTCTTCTCCGAGAATTGATTATTAATAGACATTTTATTAGATAAAATCTTTGACAATTAGGATTGATAAGTATATAGAGATTTATGAACTTTTTAATGGTTACCTGGGTACACCTGAAGGCAACAGCCTAACCTGCACTATAAGTGTCACTACAATCACTGATATACATTGGTTACATAATAACAATGCTTTTTCTCACCTGGCTGCATGTTTTGTCATAAATCACGATCAATAAAAGTGCCCCTTGTTAACATCTAGCCAGTTCTGTCAAAATCAGCCAAAAATTATCATAAATTGACAAAAGCAACCATAAACCAAACTAAATGTGACTCCTTTATTTGAAGAGTTCTTCTTTTTTCTGGAAGAGATCAAAGACAAGAGTCCAGAATTCTGCTGACATTGAAGATTTGTCTGTCAGTCACTCCTGCAGCCCCAGATTTAATGAGCATTATGGGATTTCCCAGCAGGCATTATCAACTGTTTGTACATCTTCACTAACTTATCCTTAAAACTGTTGTAATGCTGATCCTTGACAAGCAAGAGATGATTATTTTGGCAGTATAACACCTTGATCCTAGCTGCCAAGGGTACTTGGTCCAAAATATAACTCCCCTAATCCTAATAAAGAGGCATTAAGCCATTATCTGAAGATAAACTCTAAGACATCCCCATATGCCTTTCTATGCATTCACTTTTATCTTTGGTCTATTGATTTTGTTCCTCCCAAACTTTGAAAAATCTTTAAAATCTGACAGAGAAGTACCCCCAGCTCAAGATTAATTAATGATATATACAGGTGTTTTTATGTACAAATTGAACAATACTCAAAGTTTCATGGTTTTTCTGGGGAAAAATGAACAACACCTGGTGAGCATAAAATGTCACAGACCTACCGGTATATAACAATCAAGTTTAATATTTCAACTGAACTAATTACAGTTAAACTGTATGAATCTAAAAGACAAGAAGATATTACCGGTTTCAATAATTTTATTTTAAAAAAAATCATTAAAATAAATATTTGGT